TTTGTGAGTCACGCACATGCTCAGCCGGTAAAGGAAATAGCGCGACTCAGCTCGGATATACGTGAGCGTAGCGCTTTTGCTATTTACGAGTTTCGCGGCGCGGGTGATTAAAGCCGCGGAAGAAGCGCTCACCAAAGCGAGAGAGTGAGTTGGCCTGCTCGCGGAATATAGCGCGGCAACAGTAGCAGCAGCAGCTTGATTTACTGGGCGATATTTCGTCGAGGCCAGGCTCGCGCGACAATGGCGCGCTGTCGCTCGACACTTCCTTTCGAATTATTGCAGCGCGAAGCCGCCAAACCAGCCAACTTTTCTATAGAGTCGCTTGCGGCCAGCGACACTGCGGCTCTCTTTGCGCTTTTTTGTTATTAGCGCGCTCCCCCGTGCCGTGCTACCGTGCCACTTTTTAACGTTATTACGAGTCGTCTCGCGGCTATTTTCACGGCTCTTTTGTCGTCTCGCTCTTTTCACGCGACGCCAGCCTCGGATGCCGCGATTATTTATTATGGCTCGTGCACGCCGGAAGCTCGGAAGCTCCCTCAGCGAAAAGTACTTGTGTGTTGTGTCTCCGCAAAGCAGATTATGTCGAATGAAAATAAGTTATTGTATTTGCAACGGAACTTGCGTAGAATCGCCCTTCGCCTTGTGCCTTCGTGTATTTTCCATTTTATTACTTAAGCTCAATAATTAAATAGGCTGACATCATAATTCACATGCTAACTTTGTGTATTTCAATTGTGAGCAAGCATATGCGAATTGCTGCCAGCAAAGCTGCCCCGACAGAAAGCACCATTAAAATTCGATGTATGAGTCGAGAAGAGCGATCGCCGCTAAAATTCGACACGACAGGAGTAGCGTTACGAGCATTAGCGACGCCTCGTTGTCAGCGCAGGATTCTTCAGGCGGGGGATTATCGTGAGACCGTTGTTAGCCGCTTGTTCGCAGTCGAGTCTCTTTGACTAAGCGACCGCCGCCGTCCCCGCCAAGACCGAGACGAATCGCCTTTTCGGGGTCGCTCTATTTCTGCTAGTGCGCAACGCTATATGCACCAAGTATGTCAACGTTTAGCTATTTTTATGGCCTATTCTTTTCGGGCGAAGCTCCGGGACAATGGACATTGCGCGGCGATTATTCACAGTTTCCATACGCGACTCGCGCTAACGCTTTTTAATTGTCAGAATTTCACCGACTTTCCGCGACGCAAATAAATAAATAAATGAATAAACATTCCCATTGCGTCACACTATGCAGCGCTCTCGTCAATTCCAAGTGTGAACTTGGTAACATTTACAATTGACGGCACTCTTCTTTCAAGTCGCGTCGAAATCCCCTTTCGCAGTAAGCCAAGCCAGCTCAAGGAATACGTATTTCAATAAATTGACGAGGCGTGGGCCATTAAAAAAGCTTGAGGCTAACGTACGGCAGCGATTCCTGCGCCGACATCTACATCTCGATCGGCACTGCGTGGCAAAAAATGAAAAGCCAAAGGACAGAGGGAAGGGATCGGCCGAGATTCGAGGTTAATGTCTTGGAACGGACGCCATATTAGCATGTCCGCGTCCAATCGTCGCCCACGTGGAGTCGGGGCCGCAGCGAATCGCGCGAGGCAGTTACGGTACATGACGATTTCATTATTTGGCTGACGGCGAGTCTAGTAAGCATGCGCGCCAGCGGGGCTCACCCTACTTGCCTTGCCTCGCTCGCGTGCTAACGAGGGTGGGAAGAAGAAGGCTGAAGGGATTACGGAGATTCACACCGCTCAGGATGATAAAAACAATCATGGGATTTTCGAGAGACCTCGGCTACACTTTCAACAATTAGCAGGTCTTTCCCGAGGCTTGCAAGCGACATGAGGTTTTACGGAAATTTAACTAGGCTAAAACCAGTTTCTTCTTTTTCGGCAACGTGTTTCTTTAGTCTGCTTACTTTCATAAGTAAGTAGACTTAACCTTTCCAAGCTTTTTCGAGTTCATTATGATGGTTATGCAAACTCGGCACAAAATAATCATCATTTTTCTGATATGAATTTCTAATATTCCAAACTACTTGGATAACGTTCACTTGACTTTTGTTCTCATTAATTCATTCATCCAAGTATAAGTTGAGTATTATAATATTTTTGGTGGATAAATAAGCGTTTCAATCCAGTAGCATATTTATATATAGAAACGTACGTTTAAAAAAAATTGATCTATTACCAAGCATGAAAATTCTCTGGTAGAATAATGGGACTATTAACAAGTGCGTATGCAAGTTGGAATTCGTATTTCAGCAATGAATTCGCTGAAATACATTTTGCAAGTATCATAGACTTTACTGCGATTTTGCTTTTGCTTGTTCTGACGTCTTATGTCGAACAATACAAAATTCTTCCGAATGAGAAGAAGGATAAGCTAGAGAAAAGGATAAGCGGCTTCAAATAAACATGATGCTAGAGAACAAGAGAGAAGAAGAAAACGAAGAGATGGAAAAGAAAGCGAATATGAGAGGCTCCTCGAGTGAGAAAAAAGGATAGAGAAAAAGAGCTTCGCGAGAGGCAGCGTGGTTCGGCATCGAGGGTCGTGATTGTAGTGTAGTATAGAGGCGGCGGCTGCACCGGGTGCTTCATGTTATTTATCTTTATGGACCTCGGGCAGAGGGTAAGTACACTTATTCGTCCGGGGGCGAACTTAAGCCGCCGAGGGCGCGGTAAGAGATTGTTTGTCGTATTGGCTGCGGTTCCAGAGCGCCAAGGCTTACGTATTATCCGTTTAAGGATTGGAAAGGGGAACGAGACTCCTTTCGCGCTTTATCCAGATAAAGAGAGAGAGAGAGAGAGAGAGAGAGAGAGAGAGAGAGAGAGAGAGCGCTAATTTCACTTACGCACACAGGACGATAACATCGACGCTCCTGATCTGACCTAATGAATGGCTTTCTGCCTACTCCGCTCTGATTATTTCAATTTTCTTATGCTTTCTTTTTCACCCAGGGAATATGGTTCTGGGTATTATTGAGGATCAAAATTTCGCTTGTCCAAGCATAATAATGAATATGTGCCGATCTTTTACGTATAAAAATGAAAAAAAAATTAACCGATGGAAGTAGGTTACAGTCTGCAAGTCGTCTAGTTGGCAAAATACAAGTTTATTTTATTATTAAGTATTTGACTATACTTTTCGTCATCTTTAATTTACCGTATGCACTTATCAAAATTTATATGATAATGTTACTCTTACGTGGAAATTTTATTCCCTATCGATTCATAGGCGTTGTAAATAAATGTTTTAAAATCACAACTCTATATTACATTAGATTTTCCATCATTGTCAATAAAATGTTGACCGAACTGACATAAAATCGAATTAACTATTCCTTTAAATTTATCAATAGAGCCAGACGTAATAAAAGTCTGTATAAAGAGTTGCGTCTTCTCGTTTCAGAGGTACATGACACGTGACCTACGGGTGCGATGAGATTCCTAATGCGTATAGCGTTGAAGATAGCCAACAGCGAGCGTAAGGGAGAAGAAAGCGTCGCGCACACTCCACTCTTCGGCGCGCGCTCTGCAGAAATTAATCGGTTGGCTCGTAATCGGATTTACTTGATTTATGGCCGATCGCCCGCAAGAAGGACAGAAGATGTCCACAAACGGGAAAGGAAGTATCGTGGATGAATCAATCCTGGTGCTCGAAAAGTTTTATCGCTACGCAACCATACTGCCGAGGCATCAAATTAGGATGTGTGCGTTGAGAAGCCGTTTCCCCTTGTTCAATTTGATTATTTTTTGACGTTGAAAATAAAAAGTTGGAAACAATGATAGAGCCAATAAGAATACTTTTGTTAGAATTAAACAGATATAAAATTTTCCATGGTAATCAGCTAGCTGCTTCACAATTATATTTTTTGCTAGAAAACAAGTAAAGGATCCTACAAATTATTGACATTGTAAATTTGAGTTTCGACGTCGTTTATTGAATAATAACAACAGGTTCGTATTCATAGAGTACAGTTATAATGAAATATTATATACAGATACATTATTTACACGTAAATCGATGCGATATAACAATATTTATATACCTATATTAAAGTATTAACAGTTGAAAGAAATGATAAATTTTTTTCTCAAACGAAACAGACTTCATTCTTATCCACGGAGACTTTTCTAAAAGTGTTGCTAAATATTTGTATAGTACAATGTTTGTCTTACAACTAGCTTATGCATAATTCTTCATGTCCGAGCAGAAACATGTATAACAATGAGAATATACTACGTATATTTTTATTATATTTGGTCACATTTATTTATTGGTACAGCGTGCTTTGTAAATATTCGCTTCAAGTTTGTGCAAAAAAGTGTGCTAAACATCAATTTATCATCGAGATTTGAATTTGTATGTACACGGTGCAGATTGATTTTTGTACAGCGTCCGAACGATATTAAAGACGAAGAGGGAAAAAGCAACTCGTCGACGAAAGATAGAAGCCATCAACAATCCGACGCAGATTGGCAACATTACAATTTCCAAGCGATCGCATGAATCGTCTCCGCAAGAGGCGAAAAAGAGAGTCCGACAGCGTTAATAGAAACAGGAGACCTTATTGCCGTGTGGCTGCCAGATAGCAAAGCATCAAGCATAACGTCTCTCTCATTCCGTCGGATGGGGGGATGTGCAGCGCAACACACCTATTTAAAAGTCAACGCTGTCCGCTGCCTTGCCGCGTCGTCTGATTCGAGGGTTTGAAGTTAAATGGAGTGTAAATGGCAGATAACAAACCAGCACTGTTTCCGATTACGGCATTCATTGTTTCCCACCATTATGCGCGCTCCGACGGCCCCGCGCACAAGCCTCCGCAAGCGCGCGTGATCCCGAGCCATGGTTTACGATCTATTTATTGCCTGCGCCCGCGCGATCCGACGGTTTACGCCGTGTTTCAGCCCTCCCACCCGCACCATGCGCATTCTCTCTCCTTCTGCCCAGATTCGTCCTCTTCTACCTAACTATCCGTGCGCCGGGCCGAGTTTTGACCTCATTCGCTCTAGAAATCCCATTCATCGGAGTTTCCTAATGTAGTCGTTATTTGCAGGTAAACCCATCTGACCATTTTTACCATGTTTCAGCATGTTTCGATACACTCAAGCATGAAGATTTAAAATATCAATCGACTTTTATTGGCGCTGAGAATCTTTTTACTTGGATAAGCACATTCAAAACATTAATTACGATTATATTAATTTTGAACGCCACGAGTGCTGTCTATTATATGCGTTAAAGCTATGTATCACTCTCCTGCACGTCTCCCGAAATACTTTCGTAGAAGTTATGTACAATCTTTGTCGCTGACTTATACCTAATATTGACTAGACGGGGTCCGAGCTCTTTTGAAAAGAGCACTTCTTCGAAAATCGTCTTGCTTATGGCTATTATTTATTATTAGACCTACGCAATCTCATTGAATATTATAACAAATTTTTCAAGAATTTTCAGCCATAATAACTTTTGCAAAATAAATAAAAATCATCTTATAACCAATAATTGAAAGAAAGGTGTCGAGTAGCCTGAAACATCATAAATATCCGAGCATAAGTTTAAAGAAAAAAATGCTACTGGCAAGCTAATAACGCAATACATCCGTGAGAGAGTAGACGTAGCGCGGTATTCAGTTACCAAATGCGTGATCGCCCTCGGCAAACCTGTCAAACCCGGCAAAAAGGCTGTGTCCCTTGCGGCTGCGTCACTTGCTCTGCAGCAGAGTCGACTGGCGCTTGATTTCAACCTGATCCGCAACAGCGTCGCTCTCCTTGTCTTGATGGGCGGTCATGTGTCGCGTGAGATGATGCCTCTCGCGGAAGCTCTCGTCGCACACGGGACAACGCAGCTTTTCCTCCCGTCGTCGGCGCGCCGCCTCGCCCGCGTGCTCGCTCTTGTGATGCGAGCGCATGTGGTAGACGAGGTCCGAGGTCATGCGGAACGACAGGTTGCACTTGGCGCAGACGTTCTGGGCAGCCAGACCAAGTGCGGCGAAGGAAGACGGCAGAATGCCAGTTGCGAGGAAGCGCGGTCGAGCTTCAGCGAGGGGTGGGAACACCGCCGACAGGGGATTGTAGGGCAAATTAGGATAGACCGCCGCTGGGAGTTCTGGTCGGAAAGCTGCGGCAGGGACTTTTGGACTGGGTACCTTGGGGGCTGGTTGAGACGAGGCCAGCTGTTGAGTCAGTTTCAGGTTGTCGAGTAAAGCGCTTTGCTGCGCTTCCGGAGCAAGGAGGAAAGGATAGGGCACCTTTGTGGGGAAGTTGGCTGGGTACTTGTTGAAAGGACTCATGCTGTTGCCGTCGGATGGCGATCCGATTGGCGGACTGAGACTGTTTTGATAGGTAACAACGTCGGGCGATACCGATGACCTCGGGGATGATGTTCCGCCATCCTCGCAATTAACGCTACTGGAACTCGGACTAATTCCTATCAAGCTGCTCCTCTGCACGGATAAGTTGACTTTGGTAAAAGCGCTTCTTGAATCTCCTTGTTGTCTGTCGGCGCAGGAAATACTGTCGCAATTATTCTTACCGCGACACGCTGCTAACCTGAGAGTCTGGTCAATCGGCTGATCGACGCTGTTATCCTCGGTATAGATTTTTCGAGCCTGCAACGTCTGTTGAAACGCAGTCGGCGGACTCGGAGTCTTTTGTCTGCGTAACGAAGTGGCATATGGGTGAACAAGTGGTTCGGGCGACGTCGGGCTTAGCCTTCGCTTGGTTGATATGTACGACGGGACGGGTGCTTGTGTATCCTCGACGCGTCTCATTTTATACTTGTGCGAAGCTTCCAAACTTTCAAAATGTTTGATCGTCATGTTTTGCGGTATTCTATCGTTCTGTTCGTAATCTCTCGAGTCGTCGTTGTAATCGTCGACGGCTACCGATTGCCTCTCGTGATGGCGAACTAAATCACTCATCAAACGGTTGCTGTTGAATTGTAAATTTATCAGTTTTTCCGCTTGACGCTTGATCAGCTTTTCATCGGGAGCAACGAGAAATGCCACGTCGAACGAACGCTTGTTGGCGCGTTGCAATGGGTAAGACGCGTCGGTGGTTATTTCGCATGCTTTGGATTTCAAGTTACTTGGGCCGTTGGCGGAAGTGATCGGAGCACCGGTCGAGATAACTGGAGCGCCATCTTCGATGCCGCTAGATCGTTCTTCCATGGTCATTGTGCTGGTGATATGCTTTGGCCGTGTTTCTCGCGCAGTTATCGCTTTCGTGCCTGTCAACAGCAGTTCATTCAAATTAGGTTCTAACGCTGGCGAACCGTCGCTGGACTGATTGATTATTAAGGGTAAACTGACAAAAAATTAAAAGTATCGAACTTTCGGGCGGATGTTCGAGAATCACTGCAGGAAACAAAAGGAAAAGCAAAAATGGCGTAGTTACATTGATAAGAAATAATTTGTAAATTACTCACCACTCAGTGACAGCCGCTCCGCTGCAGAAGGTGCCGGCAAGTGCATAAAATCACTGCTATCGCACAAGAAAAAGTCAAGTCCACTGTCGCCGGCCTTCACGTGGTCGTCGGATCGACCGGCTATCCGTCGACCGGAACCACTCGAAAACGTGATCAAACACACTCGCGCGCTGAAGCACAGTAACAGCAACAGCAGCTACAACAGCGATTGCAGCACCAGCGGGAGTCCACGTACGAATGAGCAAGCGAGCTCGTTCGGGTTTGTATTTAGGGGGTTAACTTAGGGCTGGCAGGTGGAGACGAGTCTGTCGAGCCAATGGGATAGTCGCGGGGGTGGAGCGTGCTAGCACCACCAACAGAGGGGGAGAACATATTCGTCCGCGGCGGCGCGTCTGCTGGATTGGGCTATGGCCACGCCTACATATTTTAAGGTTCGACACATGTGGCCCGCGCGCGCGCGCAGCTCGACCTCGCTCTCGACCCTATGGACTTGGTCCTTGGCTTGTCGAACACCTACGACATCCCTGATGCTCGTGCTCGACCTGTATATCGCTCGGTCGACGCGATCCCGGACAAATTCTACCTGAGGCTCGATATTGACTGCGCGCTTTTTTATGCGCTGCGACTCCGCCTCTCCGGCATTCACTTTTTATTGCTTTTTCATTGATGGTAAATTCTATCCCCGTATTTCTATGATATTGATAATAAATAGATTGCTCATAAAAAGTATGAAAACGATAAAACTTATTGCGGCTTTTTTACGAGTTTTTTCTCTCACTGCAGAAACATTGACTATCTCTTTTTTTGTAGTAAAGTGGTAAAGTTTGTTTTTTAAAATTTTTTAAATTCCCGTTTACGGACGTGTATTTATACAGAGAGTGAAAAATATCGAATAAATATGAAATATACGATAGATTTTGTTGTATAATGTTGAATTTCTACGAATCTTGCGACATAAGGCTAAGAAAGAAGAGTGGCCGAAAAAGAAGGCACAAAAGCCGCGGAAAAATGAAAAAATCACGGGAGCATTATGTGAGTGAAACCAATAGGTGATCAATCATAAGCCGCCTAGCTGGCCGCGAGCTATCTATTTTTCTGGGCATGTGAGAGCCGTCGGCTTTTTCATGCGGAGCTTGCGATTCCTGCTGCGGAATCCTTCTGGGGCTGCTCCGCCAAGGCTCCAAGGACATTAAGTTCTTGATAGGATCGGCAAAAACTTGTAATGACTTTTTGAGTGGCTTTCTGTCTAGCTCACTCTGATTTTACCTTGGGGGGCTCGAACCTGTTTATTAAATAATACGATACGCGAACAATCGAAAATATCTTGAAGTTGAGGTCACATCGATTGCGGCATTTTTGTGACGAGCTTCCTTTGATTTCCGTGCGAACGAAGTATCCGGAAGCACATTTCATTTCTCGAAGGGAAATAAGGCAGCGGTCCGTGAGAAATGGATAGTTTCTACTTGTTCAGCAAGTGGAGATCATTAATCAAGGACGCGTTAATGCATATTTGATAAACGGCTTTCCCTTAATACTTTGCATACGTACCAGCGAGGCACTGCTACTTTTTCATGAGATCTTAATTTAAAATTTCCAAGCTCCTCGCTCTTTTATGACGTTGCAATATTTCACGAAATTTTCATTTTTCACTTTTCCCTTCGGAATGCCCTTCTACACTTGCATACCTAGTCCATAGATATAACCTTTTCTTATGCATATTTTAAGTAAAATATTACGCCTGCACGCCGCAAGGCTCACGCGGGCGCGGAAAATGAAACAGAATCTTGCACTTGAGTCGCTGACAAATTGCACGCGCGATGACCTTACGGAATGGGGAGAATAAGGGAACTTGGTTTTATCTGACTAATGTACTATCGGAATGCACGCCAATTCTCTTAAAAAAAATCATGAAATTATGTCAGACTCGGATTGGAATCCACAGGCGTACATCAGGAACGATAAGCAACCGCGTGTATATCGAGGAGACAAGACTATTACAATTAGCGAACGCAAACGGCCATCTACACTCGGCACCCCTAAACAGTCAAATTTGCCTCGCGAATGTATCCGCCGTTCCGGCAAGCATTTGCCCCGTCTAGCAACGATATAAGTTAAGGCAGGCCGCGCGTGGCGGTGTGCGCCAGTGCGCGGCGGTGTGCGGCGCTACGCGGCGGTACGCGGTACACCGAGTAGCGCGCGATTTCAGCAAGATATTCACGTAACACATAAGCGACACAGTACGCCCGCGCGCACGACCACTTGCCGCGCACTCCACCGTGTGCACAGAGATAACGCCCTCGCGCCGCAGCAGCATCTTACCTCTCAAGGAATACACAACTCTCTACGACGATAGGCATCGTTGACAAATAGGCCAGCCGAATGCCCTGTCGCTGCCATTACATACATATTTCTACGAATTGCTGCGAAAGCGAGCTGCAAGGTTTTACTCGAGCAATTTGCGCGGACGAAGAATCGGTTCGTTGCCGTTTTACAGTCGACAGTCGATTGGCGTATCCGCGAGCTGGATGACCATAGGATTGCATCCTAAACGCTGGGTCGTCCACGCGTTGAGTTATCACGCCATGATCACGGGGAATGACAAATACGCCTGTTCGCGCCGAGTTAACGACGCGTCTAAATAGGCATACTCCATCCATCACCGGCGATGACTGGCAGTGCAGGCGAGGCACACGCACTCGAGCGTTTCGATTGTGCGTGGCGAGCGCGACCGCCACCATCGCGATCGACGTTCCGACTCCGCTCCTCAGCTTGCCGCAGCTGAGCTCCTTTCGCTCCGAGATTCGCTCGTACTCGAGCTCTGCGAGCTGGTTCCGCGACAGGATTCCGCGGCAGCTGATCGGAAGCAGCTGTGATTGTCAAGGTTTTTGCCACGGTGCAAAGTCGCGAAAGTGCCTCGCGCGCCAAAAGATCGAGCAATCCTTTGAGGACTGTTTCAAGTTATAAAGCCAAACGTGAAGAGGAATAACAGCCCCTTGAAAAGTACAGAGAGTGTAGGGCCACTTAGCTCATAAAAAAATTGTAGTCGGAGCATTAAAAATTTGCAAGCCCACGTTTTTACGCCCAAGATATCTTCCGTCATACTTACCCTCCTTTTTCTCTTTCTCCGTCTTCTCTGGAGCTTGCTTTAAAAACCCCAGACTCTTTTTCAGCTCTTAAAAAAAATGAAGCAAAGAAAAAAGAGAAAAGAAGCGCAATGTACGTGCGGAACCAGGCGCTGCCGGATCCAAACGCGCACAGACGGAGGGAAAAACTGCGCGCACAAGAGAGTATCGTCGCGGAGGGCGAGAGAGAGAAAGAGAGCGGCAAAGAGGAAGTGGCAAAGTTATTAGAATGGTCCGGAAAAGATGGCGTGGAGACGCTCCGTATTTTTCTACTGTATGGCCGCTGCTTTGCATAATCCCGCACTTAGCTCGCGCTCGCGCTCTTTCTCTCCGCGTCTCGAAGCCAAAACTGGCGCGATTCATCGCCTCCTCGCTCGGAACACGAGGAAAAGACGAACAATGCTCGAATGCAAATTCCCGCGTGTTCGCTCTATATACATACGCCGTGCGTGTAAACCGCTGCTATATACTCGCCATTGCACGATATTCCGCTGGATGCGTCGATCAATGTCGACTAGCTCGTGCAGGGCCGAATATCGCTTGAAATATCGACGCGATATCGCGTCGTGCCCGTCATGCCCGTCGTGCCCGTCGTGCCCATCGTGCCTGTCGTGACTGCGAAAAATACCCATCTGCATGGCTTGCTACGCCGACTTTTTATCGAATAGGCTGCCGCGCTTTTCACCACCGAGTATATTTTTTATGCAACCACTTTATCGTAAAATGCAAGACGTAAAGTAAAGAGTTGCGTGAAGACTATACGAACAACGTGAAAAGATGAGCGGGCGTACGAGCGAAAGAAACCGAAAAGACGGCGACAACTCATCGATCTTACGGCTCGGGCAGCTTCCCAAGCAAAGACGACGGCTGAAGCTAAGAATCACAGATGTGACTTTGATTTCTCTCTCGTTCTCTCTTTCTGTAGGAATTCCCACGAGGAAGTGTCGTAGATTAAGTGCTCGCCTGCAATTTGTCGTGAATTCGGTTCTCCATCTTCGACATTGCTATACGACGTGCGAAACGAATCACCACCTGAGCTTTCCCCTTAACGTATTATCCCGTCAGTTGTCGAAGAAAAACAGCTTATCCTATAGAATAAGCTTGATAATCCGGTTATTTTTACTCCACTTGCTGTTATCAATAGTGTTATTTAACCGTCACTAAAAGTACAATATGAGCAAAAAATATGTGCAAGATAGTTGTAGATATACCTAGTCTGTTTCGTAATGTACATCCGAGCGATTCTCACAAAAAAGCCTGCAATATGCAGAAAGAGTACATTAACAGGTATTTATACTTTTTGGAAAGTCGCATTCCGTAAAATCCATCCTCGCAGCAAGATTTTGCAAGTTTCAGCCACTTAATTTCTATGCAATAGAAAGAGAGAGAGAGAGAGAGAGAGAGAGAGAGGAGAGAGAGAGAGAGAGAGAGAGAGAGAGAGAGAGAGAGCGCGTTAAAGGAGCAGAGCTCCGGCACTGCTGCTATAAGGGAGAAAGAGAGAGAAACTTTGGTCACGGTATGCGTGCAAGCCGGAACATAAAATCTCTGAGCCGTTGCGCGACGACAACGACGACGACGACGACGACGACGATGCGAAAAGCTCTGCGCGGAGCGAAAGAACAAGGACAGAAGCAACGCGCGTGCAGGCGGAGTTGCCGCCGCGGCGGAGGGCGACCGGAAAAGAGAGCGCACAATCAGAGCATACCTTAGTTGTCCGCTCGTAAAGCAACCCCGTATGTCCGGAGTACACTGTGTATACTGCCGCACATACACAAGAAGCAGCAGCGTGTCTCGTGCACAACTACCAAGAGAGAGAGAGAGAGAGAGAGAGAAAGGAATATGCATGAGTCGTGAGAGCAGAGTTATGCTACGCTGATCTTAATGGCGGACTAGTCAGTTAAGTATTCCCTTGAGCTACATTGTGGCTGTATGCTTATTTGTAGGAGCGTTATTGTGGGCTTGAGCAATTGTTAGGAAGTTGCTGATGGCTTTTAGAGAAATAGGCAAATTACTTGGCAGATTGACACTGACAAGCACAATTTTTTGAGCGACTCACCTCTTTCTCGAGACAATATTGCGAATCATT